CGCTATGTTAAACATTAGTCATATTAATCTGAGACTTGAACTTTTTATAAATATATTTTTATACCTTATGGGAACTAAAATTAGGTTCTTTGTGAATTTAAATTCTTAAGTCTTTTGGAAGACATAGATCCTTTTGAGATCCTAATGAAAGCATTGGAGATTATCCCTAGAAATATTAACATAATGAACATACACTAAATCTTACCCTTTATTTCAAAAAGTTCATGAATACTTAATATCCATTTATAGATCACAAGAATACCTATTCAGGCTGGGCATGGTGGCTCATGCCTATAATCCTAGCACTCTGGGAGGCAGAAGTGGATGGATAGCTTGAGCTCATGAGTTTGAGTCCAGCCTAAGCAAGAGCGATATCCTGTCTGTAAAAAATAGCCAGGTGTTTTGGCAGGTGCCTGTAGTCCCAGCCACTTGGGAGGCTGAGGCAAGAGGATCACAGGAGCCCAAGAGTTTGAGGTTGTTGTGAGCTATGATGCCACGCCCATTCCACCAGGGGCAAGAAAGTGAGACTCTGTCTTAAAAAAAAAAAAAAACCTATCCCATGGGATCGCTATTTTTCATATGAAAAAGGTAGTAGTTTGATTCTGTACTGAGAAGGCAGTCATTTTAAACTGGTTTTTTTTTTCTAAAGACTGACTGATGGAGTTTTGCCAATCTACCCATCCATTCTCTCATCTAGTTCTTCTTTTTATTACTGTTATATTGTCTATGACCAAAATAGAACAAAGTTAACAGAGTACCTAGAAATCAAATTTATGACCTTGTCCTCACTTAACACTATATTCCAAAGAAATGAGCTAACTATTCACAACTGGAACTGTAGCCATAAAAGCAAATATAACTGGTGTTTACTTACAACCCATGCTCCGTTAACACTTAGTCCTATTTGGTGCCAATGAACTAAATCCACTGAAAAGAATGCTGTACAAGTTTTCCCGTACTCAGTGTGTATGCATGACTATAATGATGACGAAACTGCCTAAGAAATCTCTATGTGCAAATGACTCACTTATCTGAATAATACCAAATCCTCAAATTTCTTTCAAAAACTGATCTAAACTTCTTATAGAACCACAAATACATAATGCCATCTGGTGGATGAAACACAGAAACACACAAATTCTTAGCTAGCTGAAGGAAGTTGAGGTCTTCTCCAGAGGCCCCAACCCAATATCCTGTTTACTCAACCATGTAGCCCCCTCAGAGACCAAGTGCCTGATTCTACTAGTAAAACATACCTAAGACCTGAAATGAGCCAAAATATTTTAAATAATGAACACTCCTTAAAAACAAAAAAATCTAGAATCACTAAACTCTTAGAATAAAATGTCATCAAGAAAATTTCCTAGATTTTCTTCTTCTTTTCAAGTGATTATATAAAAACAAAAGCCTTCAAGACTAGTGTTTTCATAATTAAAAGTGTTAAGAAAAAATAAGTATCAGATGTAACTGATGTACAGATGCCTTCCCTAATTAGCACAGGACCACATATTAGTCATAGCTGCAATATCTTCAGAACCAAGGACAATTCCTGACAGCCTGTGCTCAGAAATTATAATCTGAATTAAAACAAATTATACAACACAAGTTCCACTCGGGTACCTTTAGTGGGTGCAGGTTGTATACTGATAATTGGCTGCTGCTTTGTCAAGGGCAAAAGTGCTGGTAGCGTCTGAATAATAATGGTTTTTGTTGGAACAGTGGAGTTCGTTTGAGTCTTGGGTGTTGCTGGAAGCAATAAAGGCTTGGGCTGAATTGAAGGTTTTAAATTCATCTGAATTTTTTTCTTTGGAGTCAGTCCATTTTCTAGGGAAAAAAAACCAGACAAACCACAAATTAAGTAAACCCTAAAAAACAGATTCTATTGCCTACCTTTCTCTTTACATTATCCTGACTTCGGAGTAATTATCCTGAACTGAAGTTTAAGTATAGCTATTCTACATACCCTGGAGTGGAGTGAAGAAAAGTTCTTACATTGAGATTTTCCTTTTTGACCAAGCTGCATTTGGGGGTAGTAGATACATGAACGGGTAGAGAAGAGCTAAAATCCCTGAATAGAGCCTGGAGATAAGTAAGATAATAAGAAACGTCATAGTTGAATGCCCCTCACATTCAGTACCTTTAACTGAAACTTTTAAATTTCTCCTGACAATAATTGGGTCTGAGTCTATTTTAAAGTATCTTTTGATAACAAAGACAGAGAAAACTGAAGGTTATTTCTTCCCTTTCTTCTTCACGGTAATCATCCTTAACAAATAATACAGGCCTACAAATTTGAAAACAGCAAGCCAGCTTAACAAATACATGCTTAATCCAATATTTTTTTCTAAGAAATGAAACCTATGCTCAACTCAAAGGGAAATAATCAAAGTTAAGAGATGCAGTAATACCAGTTTTATTCCTAGGACCAATGACGGGCTTATCTTCCTTCAGCAGTTCTGAGGAGGGACTATTACAGCTTTCACTATATAAAGAAAGGGGTGACATCTGGGAACTAGAAGACAAATCCAACTCCTCCTGCAGCAAAATAAAATAAAAATTAATGTAGAAGGATATAATCCTTGTGCAAAAAATTGCTCAGAAAAAAAAAGACCCCAAAATATTTCAAGCCAACTTCAAGGGAAAGATGTAATGTACTGTATTAGAAAACACATCTATACATCCCACATCTATATATCAAGTATTAAGTGAGTATGGACAAATCAACATTGTGCATCAGTACCAGAGAACAATCATTCAAAATGTAGACTAAGTCCACAGCACCCTCTTACATTAGAAATATAAATCATTGATCTGCTTCCACATTTCCTCCCACAAACTTTTTACATTACTTAGTTCCTAGTCATACAAGTACTTAGTATCATTATAAGGCAACAGTTAAAATGCCAATACCCTTTCCTTGTAAAGTCTTATTCAGTCTTTAAGAAATATCAAAAGCAGAGGTGGCACCTGTGGTTCAAAGGGGTAGGAAGCTGGCCCCATATGCCAGAGGTGGCTGGTTCAAACCCAGTGCCTGTGGCTCAGTGAGTAGGGCGCTGGCCCCATATACTGAGGGTGGCGGGTTCAAACCTGGCCCCTGCCAAACTGCAACAGGAAAATAGTCAGACGTTGTGGTGGGTTCCTGTAGTCCCAGCTACTCAGGAGGCTGAGGCAAGAGAATCACCTAAGCCCAAGAGCTGGAGGTTGCTGTGAGCTGTGAAACCACAGCACTCTACCAAGGGTGACAAAGTGAGACTCTGTCTCTAAAAAAAAAAAAAAAAAGAAAGAAAGAAAGAAAAAAGAAATATCAAAAGCAAAATAATTTAACTATTTTTATTTTTTCTACTTATTATCACTGACTTTGCCCCAAACACTGTGACAAAAAGACAAAAGAAATAAAAATAAAATAAAATAAAAAAAGAAAGAAAAACACTGAAAGGAGCAGGACTATTGTCTTTAATTTAATGAATGGATAATAACAGAGATATGTACAGATAAACAACAAAATGAAACAAACGCCCCTTCCCCCAAATAAAAAAGGAATGTAAATATTGAAAACAATCAGTAACTAAAGAAATGCAAATTAAAACAAATAAAAACAAACAAAAAAGTAATACCACAGGGCCAATAATTAAAACAAATTAAAACAAATAAAAACAAATAAAAAAGTTATACCACAGGGCAAAAATCAGAAAGTAAGACAATGCTAAGCACTAGTAGAAAAACAAGTTACAGGGAGTCTCAAGAATTCTGAAAGGCCCACAGAACACTACATAAGGCCAGGCACAGTGGCTGTAATCCTAGCACTCTGGAAGGTGAGACCCATGGATTGCCTGAATCCAAGAGTTCCAGACCTGCCTGACCAGGAGCAAGACCCTGTCTCTAAAACTAACCAGGCATTGTGGTGGGTGCTACTCGGAAGGCTAAGGCAAAACGATCACTTGAGCCCAAGAGTTTGATGTTGCTGTGAGCTATAATGCCATAGTACTTTACTGAGGGCAAAAAGTGAGACTCTGTCTCAAAAACTAAAAATAAAAAAGAACATTACAGGAATTCTGGAGGGCGATATGAAAGCACTTACCAAATTAAATATATGGACATGTTACCACCCAACAATTTTACTCCTGGATATACATCCCAGAGAAATTCTCACACAGGACCACAAGAGAACTTTTTTTTTTTTGAGACAGACTCTGACTCTGTTGTCCTGGGTAGAGTACCATGGCATCGTCAGAGCTCACAGTAACCTCAAACTCTTGGGCTCAAGCCATCCTCTTCCCTCAGCCTTCCAAGTAGCTGGGACCACAGGTACCCACCACTAGGCCTGGCCAGTTTTTTCTCTATTTTTAGCGATGGGATCTTGCTCTTGCTTAGGCTGGTCTCCTACTCCTGAGCTCAAGTGATTCCCCCCACCTCAGCCTCCCAGAATGTTAGGATTACAGGAGTGAGCCAATGCACCTGGCTTGGGAAGATTTTTTTTATAATACTCATTATAGTGTAGGTAAAATGTAGTGAACGATACTTAAAATGCTGTGCAGAGTTAGATGCAACAGATTTGATGTATATTGATTAATCTTAAAACAGTGTGCTGATTTTTAAAAGTAAATAGAAAGAGATTTAATATGTAATCATTCATATAAATTTTAAATATATGCATATAATTGAAATCAGTGAGAAAAGATGAACTTTTTTTTTTTTTGAGACAGACTCTCACTTTGTCCCCCTTAGTAGAGTGCTGTAGCATCACAGCACACAGCAACCTAAAACTCCAGGGCTCAAGTGATCCTCTTGCCTGTCACCATACCCAGCTATTTTTATTTATTTATTTATTTATTTATTTATTTATTTATTTATTTTGAGGCAGAGTCTCACTATGTTGCCCTCAGTAGAGTGCCATGGCGTCACAGCTCACAGCAACCTCAAACTCTTGGGCTTAAGCAATTCACTTGCCTCAGCCTCCCAAGTAGCTGGGGCTACAGGCACCTGCCACAGCACCCAGCTATTTTTTGGTTGTAGTTGTCATTGTTGTTTGACAGGCCCAAGATGGATTCCAACCCACCAGCTCTTCCAGTGTATGTGGCTGGCACCCTTAGCTGCTGAGCTACAGGTGCCAAGCCCACCCAGCTATTTTTAGAGACTGGGTCTTGCTCTTGCTCAGGCTGGTCTCAAACTCATGAGCTCAAGCAAACTACCCGCCTTGGTCTACCAGAGTGCTATAATTATAGGAATGAACCACCATGCCCAGTCAAAGATGAACTTTTTTTAATAAATGGTATTAGAATAATCTTTTGTGGTAGTCATTTAGAAAAACATAAAATTGGATCTGTATCTCACATCATACAATAGGATAATTTCAAATGAATCAGAGATCTCAATACTAAAAATAAAACCTTATGATAAATATGCATTAATAGTCCCTTAGAAGATATACCTTTCTGAATATTTTGCTCCAAAGCTGCTAGATGGGGTAAAGCAAGACCAGCATCCACACAGTGAAGCAGCCTAGAAGAGTATCAGAGTCTAAGGAGAGTAGTGAGGGTGTTCACGTTGGGAGCAGCCTAGCATAAGGAGCCAGAGCAGGGTATTGAGGGCATCCACATGGGAAACAGCCTGATGGAGACATGTTTAAAAAAAAAGAAAAAAGGAGAAGAAGAAGAAGAAAGAAGAAGAATGAAGAAGGCAGAAGAAGGGCCAAGCATGGTGGCTCACAGCCTAATGGAGACATGTTTAAAAAGAAGAAGAAGAAGAAGAAGGGCCAAGCATGGAGGCTCACACCTGTAATCCTAGCATTCTGGGAGGCTGAGACAGGTAGACTGCTTGAGGTCAAGAGTTTGAGACCAGCCTGAGCAAGAGCAAGATCCCACCTCTAAAAATAGCTAGGTTTTGTGGCAGGGCCTGTAGTCATACCTACTAAGGAAGCTAAGACAAGAGGATCACTTAACCCCAAGAGTTTCAGGTTGCTGTGAGCTATGAAGCCACAATACTCTACCAGAGCAAGAAAATGAAATTCTGTTTCAATAAAAAAAAAAAAAAGAGCTGGTGTGAAGGGGCTCTCACTGGCCAAATTCAGGATAATATAAAAGTCAGAATAAATAATCTACAACCTATTGAACATAAGAAACAATGAATCCATACTGATATTAACAAATAAGTGAATAAAGTTTAATGAGGAACAGGATATTTTTACAGTTTTAAAATATCTCCTCATGAAATACTTATTTAGGGCAAAGGAAAAAAGAGTAACTTCATAGCCTGGCTGACACTGCCTATTAGTGATCAAAGTGAACATTATCAGTAACATTATCAACAACAGCAAAAGGAAATGAGGTGGATACAGCACTTCTGAGACATTCCTGCCATGGACATAAAACCTGAATCTATTCCTGAGGAAACATCAGATAAACTCCAATGAGGGCTATTGTTCAAAATAACTACCCTCTAATCTTCAAATGTGGCAAGGTCAAAAACGTTAAGGATGAATGAAGAACTGTTTCAGACTAAAGGAGATTATAGACAAGACAAGCAGCAATGCATGAATCTGAACTGGATCCTTTTGATTGTCTAAACCTGTGGTCCCCAACCCAGGGCCAGGGACTTGCCAGTCTGAGACCCATTAAGAACTGAGGTGTACAGCAGGCCTGGGCTCTGCTTCCTGTCAGATACTCCATTCCTGAGCACTCCCTCAACCCCACCACCGGCCATGGGAAAATTGTTTTCCATGAAACTGGTCCCAAGTGCCTAAAACCTTGGGAACTGCTAGTCTAAAGGATGCCTCTGGGACTTCTGGTACAATCTAAATGGGAGTTGAAAATTAGATAATAACAATGTATCAATGTTTATTTCCTCATTTTCACGTGTATATTATAACTATGTAAGAAGTATCTTTGCTTGAAGGAAGTAGATCTAAAGTATTTGGGGATGATAGGGTATCAGGTTGGCAACTTACTCTTAAATGGCTCAGAAAAAACAAAGTTTCTTATACTTGCAACATTTCTGTAAATTTGAGATTGTTCCAAATAATTGGTATAAGAAAACAAGATAAAAATATGAGTGGTAAAAACTTTCCTCTGAGTGACCAAAGGACAGAAGAAATAAAATAGGAATGCCCAACTTGCAGCCTGTGGACCACATGCTGATTTTGTGAGGCTTTTTTTTTTTTTTTTTTGCTGATCTGTGATGTCAGATATCACAAAAAGTATGCATGGATCTTTTTTTGCTAATCAGCTTTCATTAAGTGTTTGTGTTATTTAATGTGTGGCCCAAGAAAACTCTGTTTCCAATGTGTGACAGAGAAAAAAACAAAGGTTGAACACCCCTGAAATAAAAGATCAATACTCTAGCTATAGAAAAAAGTATACCTGGTGGAAATGAATACAAGGAATAAGACTAAAAGACAAATGAAAAATTCAAGAATAAATATTTGAAGCTTAGAATCACCAGGATTTAGTAACAGACTAAATATAGAACCAGATGGAACAAAGATACTTCAATTTATGGCAGATAGCATACTGAAGTATTATTTATATTTTATTCTTACATTTTCCCTTTCCCCATTCCACAAAAAATATTTTAGGGGGCAGCGCCTATGGCTCAAAGGAGTGGGGCACTAGCCCCATATGCTGGAGGTGGTGGGTTCAGACCCAGCCCAAAACTGCAAAATTAAAATATGTATATATATCAAGTATGTATATGTATGTATAAAATATGTATATATACATATTTTAATCAGGTACTTCCTTTGCCTGGCTTCAGGGCTTTTCTCTGGATGAAGAGAAACATTCTTTTCTTTCTTTCTTTCTTT